AGGAAGTCATTCAGGATAACTGCTTCAACACTGATAAATAAACAAAGCAGATACTTGGGAATGCCTCCCAACATAAATCAGTAGATTGGAGAACTTTTCATTGGCCTTGCCATCTTCACAACTGCTGTTTTTTTTTCAGATAGATCATAACGATCTCTGCCCTGCTAATTTCACATTTGCCGTCTAGCCTTGGGTATGTTTCAAAAGTTTTAATTTCTAGAAGTTCAACAAAAAGAATTCTAACCAGTTTGAAAACTATAATGAGAAATAATTCATTCACTGATATGCCTTTAAAGTATACCTGACTTGGGACCCAAACAGCTAGAAGAGATTTTTCTTATATAATTTTGCATTTGTATTAAGCTTTCAAAGTGATCCTTTTTAAAACATATCATTCTCCCACACAAAACTATAAGAGTTGTGCACTTTCTTCAACATTCAGGAAGTACATTAAACAGAGAGCGTTGGGCCTAGAAACCTTCATAAATCAAGAGTCAAAGATACAAATGAAGAAAGCCATCTCAGAGTAAACAGATTTCATTAGCAAGTCAGAGTAAATCAATATTACAAGAACAAAAGACAAAATCCAGACATCATGGTGTCAGAAGACAATTTTAAGATTCATCAGAAAACCTAGGAAGTATCTCTAATTGGAGTATTTTCTACATCTGTTCTATTTTAGTTTGGTCTGATGCAAGTAGCCTTGCTTGCTTGCTTGCTTGCTTCCACCTCTATGGAGGATATTCCATATTGTTTTGTGAATTGCAAAATGGAAATTTTGTCATTTCCAGATTAAATGGTGATTATCTCCTGAATTTCCTATTCTTTCTTGATAAATGACAAAATGTGGGAGTCATATCTTTTGTTTCCCAAAAAGAAAAAAATCTATGTGACAGTGTCAAATAACGCCAGAAGCAATTCTAACACCATGATCATCAGGTCTAATTCAGCCAGCTGGTAGCACAAACAGCCCAGGTGATGGTCAAAAGAATAGTTGATAGTGGTGACTGAGAACAGGATGAGGTTAAGATAAAACTAGCACATAAGACTAATTACCCCAAAATGACATAAGAATATTAGAGAGAATATCAAGAATATTAGACAGAAAATAAAAAATGGAAATTAGGTAATAAGAATTTAGGAAGCTATATGGAAAAATGGTAAAATATAAGTTAACAGATAGACATAAAGAGATAGAGATTAGAAGACTAAAATATCCCATCAAAAGAATAGACCTTGGACAGAGGTACTGTTTTAAATTTGAAAGAGATAGTCTCTCTTTTGTAACAGAAAACAATGTATTTTTTTTTAATAATAAAGCACTTCCTCACTAGATCTGATGTGTATGCCTCCTGCTTCAGATTTGTACCATCCTTGATCCCACAACAGGTTTTTTATTTGTTGTCCCACTACTATTCTGTGAAACTACAGAGAAAAACATAACTTCCAGCATTAAAAAACCAAGATTCCTAGCGAAAAGAAATGTCTATACCTATTTCATTCTCTGAAGAAAAGACTCCCAAATGCTTTTTAATGTAGAAAGACGCTTACCTGTCTTAACAGTAGCTGAAATGTTTATTCTTAACCATTACATGATTTTATTTTTTTTTCCTTTTTTAGAACTCTCCATGAATTACACTATGAAGAGTTATATAATGTTACATAATTTTTCATATCCCCAAGCTGTAAACTAGCATAATTCTATAGGCTACTACTCAGGTATATACTATTTTATCTACATACTACTCAGCACCTTAAATTACAATTCATTTTTCTGTGTGAAATATGTGAAAACTTTAACATTGTGGCCTCTATTTTATTCACGTGACTTTTTTTTTTTTACTCTCCCCAGTTAGTTATCTGCAAAAGCAAGAATTTTCTACTCACCTTTCAGAAGATTCTCATTTACATTTCATTTCTTTCGCAATTACAATTTCTGGCATTAGAATGACTATTTACTATGTTCTGTTAATGTACTTTATTTCATCTTTGGCTTTTTCTAAGATCAGAAATACTCTGATTCTATAGTTCACTGACTCTTTAGCAACAAGAAAGAATTCCTATCCCCAAGCACCAGTTCAATTAAAACATTTATTAACCCATCTTTTTAAAATAAATTCCAGTATTTTTCTGCACATACTAGTTGCATATGGTATCTATCATTGCATAGGCTATCCAAAAATATTATTTACTCTGCAATTAGATTGCTTAAGTTTCATTATCCAATAAAGTACAGTCAGTACTTGGTTGTTAGTCTATATAGCCTGAAGTGTGAAAGACTCTTTCCTTTTATCTCAGTCTTTAAATAAAATTATATAGTTTTACATTTTGTACAGTTTTGCAACAGAAAGAGTTGGAATATTTAATGAATAATAATTACAATCTCCACATCCCATCTTCAGCCCAGCTGGATTAGTTTCTAAGAAAATATATGTATTCACAGCCATTTATTTTCTCATAAGAAATTAAAATCAGGTTGAGGGAAGGCAATTTGGAAATAAAACTAATATTAGTATATTATCTTTTTCCATTTTTCCCCTGAGGTCTGCTACTGAGGAAGGAGGGGGGAGGGAAGGAAGGAGTTATTTGCTAGTAATTATCCTTGTATATGTTGTTTTAACTTATGATTTGGAGTTGACCAGAGTTAGTTATGATGGACAGCAATGTAAATGTTTTAAATAAATAAATGTAAATGTAAATAAGGGGTGTTAAGCCAAAGCTTGGGTAGACATGCAAATTATTCTACAAGCTATTATCAAATTTTGGGGTTGACATGGAAGATAATGACCACCACATACAATTAGTGGCTAAAGGCATGAAAACACTTGTGATTTTAAAAAATGTAAACTTCTGCCATGCCATTTCCCAGTTGCATTACTACAATGCACTCTCCATGGAGATGCCCTTGAAGACTATCTAGAAACTGCAACTGGTCCAGAATGAAGCAACTCATGAGTTCTGAGCACCCCACAGTCTCCTCCAATTACACCATTTTTGTTATAAGCTGCATTGGCTTACAGTTTCATTTCCAGGTGCAATTCAAGGGGCTGGTTATAATCTTTAAAACCTATATGCCATTGAATCAGTCTACTTGCAGGACAGCATCTGCCTGTCTCACCAGATCAAATAGGGTGGGCACACCCAGGTCTCTTATTTAAAAATCTGTCATCTACGGCAGGCATGTCAAACTGCCAGCCTGCAGGCCGGATGCGTCACGCCGAAACCACGCCCACCCCATTGCCGGCAATGGGGGAAAAGTCACGTGATGTCATGAGTTTGACATGCCTGATCTAGTGGGATCTACAAAGTGTGCTTTCTCTGTAACTGCTCCTATCCTGTAGAATAACTTTTCTGTAGAGATCCATCTGGTCCTAATCTTCCTTGCTATCTGGAAGGTCTTGGGAAGCTGTATCTTGCCAGAAACACTGGTGTGGGAGGAAGTTGGAATGCAGCAAGAAGGTGTATAAGTGTGTCACAATGCTACCTTGGAGTGCCTTAAGTTTTTATAGATTTTTATTTTACAGAATGGGGTTTTATATTGTTTTTACTGATTCAGATGCGCTCAGTTTTATTATTACAGTTGTTACAGCTATATAAATCTGTTAAAAAAACCAAACACATCGATGCATCCAAAATAATTACTCAAGGTAGCCTTATATACTGAATAATTAGACAGTCCTAAATATGCTATTAAAGGAATGTACCTAAGAATAATCACATTTTTTATAATGAGTTGAACCTAGCTGTTAAGGAAGACCTTAACCGTTGTTTTTATTCCAATTGCTTTTTAAAAAGTGCACATAAATAAAAAGATTTTTTTTTATTTTTTTTTTAATAACAATTGTTTTGCTTATCATGCTTCATTTAATCAAATCATTCACCACATTGGCAAAGGAACTACAAAGAAACTGGGTCAATTCTCCTGGCTTCTGATAAGTAGACTGGGACTCACAAAAACTTCCACAATGTTAATGTTAGTATTTTCACTGGTAAAAAGCTCTCCATTCCATGTTGTAAAAAGCTAACTGCTTTTGAACTGCTCCAACTTTCTCTCTGTAAAGTGATAGGCAAAACTACATGGGGAAAAAAAAGTCCCATTTCACATATTGGTTTGAAATTAGCAGCCAGATCTCTGATGTATTTCCTAATGCACTAAATTTCATGGAAACCCCAAAAAACCTTTATGCAACTAATAATGTACTGACTATATAAATCGCCTACCTTTAAATTTATCTTTGAATTTGCAAATAGAGTAAACAGTTTCATATTTGATTATTGAAAATGTAACTGTAATGTGCTTTCTAACATTTAACCATATGCTAAATAAACAATAAGTGTATTTCCTGTACTCCAAATCAACAGGAAGGCCTGCAGAATGATGTATGGTTTTCAGGCTATTTTTAGAGCAAGCTTGGATAGGCAGACTTTAACTTTTGGAACTCTTGAGCCTGCATGCCCTTAGCTGTAGTTTCTGGGGGCTCAAACAGAACTTTAAATGGGATAGAATGAACAGTACCTTGTTTACCTTGTAACAAGCAAGTAAACTGAATCTTTGGGGAATCTTTGGTCTATTCTTATCAAAATCTTTCTAATGTTTTTCAGTTTTTTTAATTGCTGAGAGACATGTTGCCATGAAGAGAAATAATAATTACCAAGGTAACATTATGGCTTATCATGTTTTGAAGTCCAAGAGAATCAACACTTTGTGTTCAATTGTTCATATATGCATACTGTATTTAGATTTATATGAACAATTGAACACAAACCTTATCTTAATATAAAATGAGAAGAAAAAAATAAAGATTGGGCAATAGAATCTCTTTAAAGTTAATATTTAGAAAATGCCACAGATACTCAGTTACTTACTTTAAAAAGTAAGCCAGTGCATGGAGATTGTATTTATCTGCAATATAATATACATAACAGGAATCTTTCTATTTCCAGCACAAAAGAATAGAGGATTCCAGCTTAAAATTGTTCTTAACACATCAGTTCCTGCGCTGCACAAATAATCTTGAAACATTATTGCCATACCTTACCATTTATGGTAGTAGAAATCTCAAGTTAACTAAACATCCATTTTCAAAAATCATCATCAGCAAGTTTGGAAGAAGGTAGTCTTTTTACAGCTACAGATTTGCTACTTGGGTGCCAGTATGGAGCAGATCTTTACAGATCAGACTTTTCCCCAAAATTCATGAACTTCTAAGCCACATTTCAAAGACGGTAAGCATGACTTCTGAAAAGTATGTTTTCAGCAATCCTGCGTGTACAGTACTTCTGAATAACATGAATATTTCCTGAACTATTAGATTCTTACCAGATTTCAGAAACATTTAAACCTTATTTTAAGTAAGAAGAGAAACAAAAAACACAGATGTTTTTCTTTTTTACCAATCCATATTTGCTAAGAGAAAAAAACTGAATAGTTTTGTGTTTATGATGTTAAGATGATGAGTTTTACTTTATGGGCACACAACGGCAGCACTATAATCTTATTTTGTGATAATTAAATAGCATTTAATGTTTTTGAAGGGATTCAGTGTTTTGAAATGCTTTCGTTTTAATGACATTATTTTAGAATGCAAATTAATATTCAGAATGCCTATAGCAAGTATACAAAACAGAAAATACAGAAATGTCTAGGGTGCCAATTGTGATTGGTAGACATTTATAGCAAACAGGTAACAATTTTGAGAATGAGGGGTTGAATGTTCTAATTTTAGGTAATCAGATGTTAAATGAGTTCCTTTGAAGTACATTCTGTTTACCATCAAATTTGAATTTTAACTTTTTTAGTACATGAGGGTTTTATTCTGGTAATGGTAGCATTAAAGTGAAACATTATTCCACTGTTTTATGTCAAAAGTCATTCCTATGGTTCTGTTATCCACAGTGTCTTTATCATTGAACTATATAATGTACAGATTAAAAAACTGTGACCTGGAACTAAATGTTACATAATAGAGATTACTCCTGTTCAACAGGAGTAATTGAGATACATTCAACTCTCATCCTCTCACCAATTTTTCTAACCTAGCTGAAGGTTCTCCACATTCTTTTCAGTGTTTTTCTAAATGTACAACCTTGAAACTTTTCTAACTTTCCAGTGTAGCCTCTCTCTTACCGTTTTTCCCTTCAATATGCAGATTGGCACATAGAGAACTGAAACTTGTAGAAATATTATTCATCTTATAAGTACATAGCGAGATTGATATTTCAGAGATTAAGAAAAGAGAGATGGTTTCCAGAAAGAACTGGACTCTGATATCTTTTCTCAATAGAAAATGAACACCATTGCATATGTTATGCAGCATAACAGCATATAAAGAAGCAGAAAAAAATAAATCTATTATTAAAAATCAGGTTTCTTACAAATGTGGGCTTTTTTAAAAACAAATCTGTTATTTATATTTAATGACTACTGTAAAATTGTTGTGTAAAGAGATTTGCAATATTTTCTTGTCTTTGTTGGAGAAGACACAGGTATCTTAGGACAAATTGAGATTCAACTGGCTGGCAGATCAAGAGTTATGGGTTCTAAAATCATGATAGCAGGACTTAAATAAGGTGGAGTGTTATCCTTTCTTCCCTACCATCCATATTCCTTTGATCCCTGAGGGAAAAAATGGATTTAATGTACAGTACCTGAGTGTCATTGACAGTGGTTATTTTTTTTTGTCTATTTAGCATTTAATGGAATAAGGCCCAGTTTTACCGTTTGTATTGAAGACTCCTCTTATGATTTGTTCTTAAGAATATATATATTTTATTACTCATGCTGAACGTTGTTTAAGGTGAATTAATGGTTTTAATAAATAAGTTCAAATTTCTTCTGAACTTTTCTAAAAATGTAGGGCAATATATAAATTAAGAAAAAAGATTTAAAAAAAAAAAAAAAAAAGACCAGACTCTAGAAGAAAAAAAATTATGATAAAAACCGAATTCAAGATTGGGATAAACTGATGTATGAGGAATCCTACAAACAAGATGTATAACCATGATAAATCAAAGAAAATCATGTTTAAAGATTAAAATTAAAGCCTTCCGCTTGTTAATTACAGCATTAAAATTAAAGCCTTCCACCTGTTAATTACAGCAATGTTTTATTTTATATATAAATTACTTCACAAAAAGAGTGTGGAAGTGATTCATTGAGATTTGTGTTCTGTTTTTCCTTTTCTATGCTACTTGGACGATTCTTGGGATAAAGCAGGGCAGCTAAACAATTTAAATGGGATGCTTAAGGTGAAATCAAATAACTTTATTATGGTTGTAGACCAGCAATAGCCATCATTTTTTACAATATATTAAATAATAATAATAATAATAATAATAATAATAATAATAATAATAATAATAGTACTAACATTAATAGTAAATAATAACATCCCCGTTAAGAAAATACATGTTCTCAAAATGTTAGAGTCACTCCCTAGTTTACATGAATGGATAGCTGATTAGTGTGTGAGTAAATATAATGTTCCAAACATTACTAGAGATATCTCCAAAAAATTGGCACCAAGTTGACGGCTATAGATCTGTAACCAATTTTTTTCTTGTGGACATTGCCGCAACACAGTATTTTGCTACTGCATGTGTGATAGAAGGGTCTGACTCCTGGAGGAGAAATAAAAATTGTCTGCCCTCCCTGGCAATCTCTCTAATAGGGGAGAATATATACTGTCCTATAAACTCAGTATAACTCACAGTACAATAAAACATGTGAGATATCTTTGACTTCTCCTTTACCACATATACATACCTGTTCTGCTATTGGTGTTCTCTTATACCTGCCCTGTAGGAGTGCTGAGGGAAGAATGTTAAATCTGGTTCTGAAGAAAGCTATTCTTTGTTTTGGGAAAGTCAGACCATTCGGATATCTTGCTGATTCCCACACACCCTGTTTGATTCTATCCCTACTGTGGCAAGGCAACCTATTTAGTTCTTCTTGGAACTCCATGTCCTTTATTCTATTGGATATTACCTGCATTGCTTGGTCAAAGCCTAGGGACATTAAGAATATCGAAGAGAGCCCATAAGAGCCCAGTTTATGATCTATCGCCTGCTTCCAGGGGGAAGGAAAGTTGTCAGTCAGCACCAACAGGGACAGTCCCTCTGGAAAGAAATGCATTTTATGCCACTGAATGATCATCATCTTCCAGGATCTTACCTGGATTTGGGGCATGCCTGTCTCAATTCTTAATTGGGCATTTGGGGTTCCTCTGGGTACAGCTAAGAAAGCTCGCAGGAATTTGGATTGTATGGTTTCCAGCAAGTTTTTCTTTGCAAGGATTCCTGTTTGTGCCCCATATAGAATTTGCACCAATGTTTTGGCCTCAAAAAGTTTTATGGCAGCAATACTAATTGACCTCCGCCTGTGTAAAAGTAATGTTTGATTGCATTTAGGGACCTATTGGCTACTTGCAATGTATGATCCAGGTGTGCCTTCCATGTCTCTTGAGAGTGGAAAACCACCCCAAGGTATCTAAATATTCTAACCTGATTCATCAAAGTTAAGGACCAACTTGTTCTGTCTGCAGTAGCCAAGTGTTGCCCTAATTGCTCTCTTCAGTCCTACAGGAGTTTGCGAAATAATGACTGCATCGTTGGCATACAGAAGAATCGGGATTTTGCGATGTGCTAGGTTGGGCAGATGCAGATCAGGGTTCTGTAAGAGATCGATCAGGGGGTTGATATAGAAGTTAAAAAGGGAGGGAGACAGGATGCAACCTTGCCGTACCCCTTTTTGTACCCTTACTGAGCCAGTTAAAGTCCCTTGGGGATTACACCTCACTTTCAAGGTGGAATTGGCATATAATTTTTGTATGAGGAAAAGGAGGCGTTTATCGATAGTAGTGCCTTCTAACTTCTCCCATAGGGTGTTCCTAGATATTGAGTTGAAGGGTCTGTTTAAAATTGAGGAAGGCCACAAACAGAGAGGATTTTTTTATATGTGTATTTTTGTACTAGATGGTGAAGTACCAAGATATGGTCTACTGTTGATCTTCCTTCTCTAAAACCAGCTTGTTCATCTTTAATTACCCCCCCCCCCCCAAAATTAGCCAATTCTGAAGTTTATAGTTTAGATGTTTGGCATACATTTTACTAATAACATTCAGAAGACTAATGGGTCTATAATTTCCTGGGTCATTTCTACTACCTTTTTTATAGATTGGTATGATAATTGCTAATCCCCAATCTCTTGGCATATGGCCCGTTCTATCTATAAATGTAAACAGAGATGCTAAAAGTGGAGCCCACCAACTGGAATTATTTTTTATTATTTCTGGCAGAACATTGTCAACACCAGGTGCCTTATTAGCCTTGAGGGCTCCAATCAATCGGGATATTTCGCCTGGTGTAACAGGGGTCCAAATTAATTTGGACCAAACCCCTTATTACATGCTTACTTACTCAGACCCTGAGCATACTTACATGCTCAGGGTCTGTATATAGCTCTCTAAAATATTCTTCCCAGGCATGAATCGGTACCTGATTAGTTGGAGGTAGGGGGGATTTCCTCAATCCTCTGGTAATGTGCCAAAAAAGAGGTGTATTTTTTGTTCTGACTGATGCAATTAGTCTATGCCAAGACTCCTTCAGAGCCGCCCTTTTATTTTCTTTTAGAAGAGTCTTATATTGTGCCTTCAACTGCTTTAAGCAGTGAGTGTGATCCTCAGAAGGGGCATTTTTATTTTTTCTGTATTCCTTGTTATATATATATATATATATTAGTTGCACGCAATCACTGTCAAACCATCTTTTATTCTCTAAAACCGACTTTTTTGGGGTGAGCTAGTATTGTTAATGAGAACCGATTTAAAATTAAAGTTTCAAAACCTTCTAAATATGATCTATTCCTTAATAGAGATGTAATTCTATGGTTTCTGGGGCTAACATCCATTCAGTAACTTCCTTTGCATTTTTCTCTGTCCATTTAATTTTTATCTGGGTATTTTGGTTCTCTAACCTGGGTAAATAGGTTGAGCCAGTCCTTAGCAGTTTCTGGTGTAATGTAAAAGTAAGGATTAGTGGATCGTGATCGCTTTCCAATCACGAGTCTACCTCCATCTTCTGCAGGAACTTCAGGAGGTCGTATGATGTTACCCAATAATCAACTGTGGATGTTCTTCCTGCTCCCCAATAGGTATAATCTGCTGGGTAGTCATCCCATGTGGAGCCATTAAGAATGCAAAGGTCCAAGCGTACAGTCATCTGTCTTACACACAGACCTGCCCGATTTGCCTTGGTGTCTTTAAACTGTCTGGCAAGCAGGGGTTCTCCTGGTATGTTCTCATCATAATGGATCTTAAATTGATTAAATAATGCTTGATCGTTTGGGCCCATCCTAGCGTTTAAGTCGCCCCCAATAATTATTGCTGCTGTGGGATATTTGTCTAAGCAGCCCAGGATAAAATCTTCTATACCCTCCCAGATCTTATTGATCAGATTATTCTTGTTGATTGGGGGAATATAGATATTAAAAAGCAAGATCTCCACCTGTTTAAATAAAAGTAGGTAGTCACAACCCATGGTTGAAGAGGTGGGAACAGTACACATTTAAAATGCAAAGATGTATTCACTAATGTCACAATGCTCTCTTTAGATCTCCCACCCACCTTACTTGGAACTGCTGGGATATAGTTACCCCAGTAACTATCTAACTCAGTGGTTCTCAACCTGTGGGTCGGGATCCCATTTGGGGTCGAATGACCATTTCACGGGGGTCACCAAACAACGCAGTCCGCCATTTTTCCCCCTTTTCCTTAGCTGTGCTACTCCCTTTTATTCTATTGGCTTTTGAAAGCCAATAGAATAGACTCTCTTGAATAGAGTCTAATTGTATTGGCTTTCAAAAGCCAATAGGAATTGTCCAGGCTGTCTCTGCCCTGCTGAGCCCGCAAAAGTCCCATTCTGCAAACGGTGCTGCACCAGTTGAGTAGTCCTTGACTTACGACCGGTTGAGTAGTCCTCGACTTATGACCGGTTGGAGGTTGCGGCATTAAAAAGGTTGAGAACCACTGATCTAACTGTATCTCTGTAGGGGCTCAGGTTTCCTGTAAAAAGAGAATGTCAAATTGTGATATATAGTCCAAAAAATGTTGGTCTTTTGATGGCCAACCCGCTATATTCCAGGTTATAATGGAGAGAGGGTCATCTTTTGCAGCTCGCCAGGAGATTTGATTTATACAAAGGGAAGTTGTAGGGTTGTTGCAATGGCTTGAGGTGTCATCCTGCATGAAATTGGCCTTCTCTAAATGGAGGGGAGCCCCATCAAAATTCTGTGTAGACTCCTGGGAAATTTGTTTGAGGTATGAAGATTTAGCAGCGGCTAACAAGGTTTGCCATTCCGGAACCTCTTCTCTAGGTGTAGAGCAGGGGGGTTATTAGGTCATGCTCATTCGGCTTTGAAATGATGGCACTGACAGCGGTCTTCTCTCTCTCTCAAGAGAGAGATTGATACATTGCAGAAGGTATCACTGGAAAGTCACATAAGGATGCTAGCATCTCCTTCTCTATTGGGGCCTCTATTGGCCTCTGTGTATATTGGCTTCTGCTTTTCATGAACTCATATTCTTGCAAACTCTTGCCCTCTGGGGGGAAAGTAAGAGGCTCAATTATAGGGGAAACCAAATCAATAAGCGGTTCAGCTATATCGATTGTGACCAATAAGGATTTATTTAGGTTTTCTAACTTGAGTATTATCTTGTTCACTCCTTGGGAGAGCACCAAAAGCATTAATGAGCCCAGTTTCTGTGCTATTAAGTACATCTTCTGTAAGTGCTGGTTTACTCCCACTTTCTCCCTCTCCCTTTCTCTGGGTTGAGGATGCGGAAGAGACAGCAACCTTACAGCAACCTTGGGAGCTGGCAGGTTAACAATTAAGGGTTTAACCCTTTCCTCGCAGAAAATTCTGATGGGAGAGATTTGAAAGGAGGCTAGATAAGCCTTCATCTTAAATAGCCTCAGTGGTATGGTGGGCTGTTTAAAGGAGAGAAATATCCACTTCCAATTTGGGACCTCAGGGAGCCACTCCGCAGTATGTAGATCAATCTGCCCCCAGTGACAGTGCAGAAGCTGGCTTAGGGAATTTAGTATAGCATTCTTGGAATTCCAGCAACCATGATTAAGCCTGTTCATGTGGATTCTCAGCACAACCTGATGTGTTTGTAGTGAGCGATGTGGTTGATGTGATTGGTGTAATTGTAAATGGGATGCTTTATTGTCTTCCCATGAAACTTCTCTGTTAATACCTCCTCCTCTTATTGCCTTAGCTGGAGAAGGACTGTTTTTCCAAGTGGGCTGCCACCTTCTAGCAGGCTCTTTATCTGTCCCTGCCCCCCAGTCTGTGCTCATTTTCCTCCCCTTTCTTCCTTCTCCTGATTACTGGATCTACCCATGTCTGCTGCAAAGACTTCAGTGGGAGTGCCTGTAGCCCAATGTTGCGGCCTAGAGCAGAAGAGCTATATCTTTTTTCAGTGTCTCCATATCATGTTGAATGGTTATTAGCTGTTCAAATATTGAAACTACAGTTTGTGCTGTGAGAAGACATTGCTTTGCCATAAACTCTGTTGTATTTTCCCATGGTAAGCTCCCCCCACTCTGAATTAGACTGTTGTTGTTGTCAACCTTCTTAGTCTTTATCTTAGTCTCCAGGCCGGCTGTATCTGGAGTCATTATTTGTGAAAATAACTGGCTGTCATTTTGCTCCCCTCTCCCCAGATTGGGAAAGTCCAGTATCTGCTATTTTGTCAGATCTCTTTGCAGGTCCCGTTCTAGTCTCTCTGGCTTGTTGGAAATGAAGGGGGGGGGAATAGTTTTACTTACAAGTCTCTTGCCAACAAAGTGCTCCTCAATTTTTGGTTGTTTGCATTCTTCGCTGGTAGGAGAGATCCCGGGCTGGTGCCTTGACGTTTCCTTCTTTTACCCATGCCTCCATCCTTCTCCAGTGCCTTCTGTTTCCAATATATACTGGCCTCTCCAGTATATATACTTTATAAAAAGTCTTTGACTACTATAAAAAGGTCAAACAAGGTTTAAAACAGGTTAAAAATAGGTTAAAAAGGGTTAAAAATAGGTTAAAAATAGGTAGGTTAAAAATGCAATGTTAAAAGGGATTAAAAAGTTTAAAAGTTAAAAGAAAAAGAAAATAATAATAATAAAAAAAGCTTTTGCTTTTGGAGGAGCTCTTTACAGCCTTTGCTGCCTGTCCACCATCTTGGCTCCTCCCCGATCACACTTAAGGAGAAGAATATAGAACAGACATGTCAAACTCATGACGTCATGTGACATCGCGCAATGTATCGGGATGGTTTTACCATTGCTGGCAATGGTGTGGGCATGGCTTCCGGATGATGTGTCTGGCCCGTGGGCCGGCAGTTTGACACCGATATAGAAGAACGTATAGTGAACATTAATGCAAAAATATGAAGTAGTAAACTCAGCAATAAATTCATTTTCCCAACAGCATATATGGAGTTTTGATGCAAATAATTATACAGGAACAAAATATTTGAACTTGGCTTTATTTTCAATTAAAAAATAGCTGGTCCCAGTATTTGAAGGATTAATTTCAAAAGATTTAAAAAATAAACAGATCTAGCAACTGAAGGATAATGGATTCTGTTTTCATCAAAAGAATGTGTGTTGTTAATGAGATCATAGAAATTATATCTTTTGGGATTAAAATGCATCATAGAAACAAAATTCATAGTCTAATACCCATTTTTTATTATGAGAAAACTGGAGCTAAGCTCAATTATCACACATACTAAATGGGTCTGTCCCACCATAATTTGTAGTTTGATTATGTGCCATCAAAGTCAGTGTCAACTGTTAACAACCACATGGATTTTCTCAACCTAGTCCTACAGGTGTTCCAATGATGCAACCACTGTCACTGTAACTGAATCCTTCCATCTCCCCAAGCATTAAGACCTTCTCCACAAAGCAAGGGTTTCACATAATCTGAGGTCTGATCATTTATACCTGATGTTTGTGCCTTGAGTGAAAACTCTGGGTTGATGTATTCAATTGCCTATTTGTTTATTTTCTTAACCCTCCATGGTACAATCAGGAGTCTTCTCCAATATCAATGTGCAAAAGCTTCAATACAATTTCTATCTTGCTCCTTCAAAGTCCAACTTCTATTTACATGGAGTCTTAGGAAAAAATCATTGCTTGCACCATTCTGATCTTCATAGAAAGACACACAATACAACATCTGAGTATCTTTTCTAAGGGCTTCCTGGCTGCTCAAGTGCTAGTCTGTGGTGTGATTCTCAACAACCAATTCATTCAGTATTGATAATTCTAGGCTGAAGTTATTCACCCCTTCAATATCTTCACTGTCAATTCTAAAGCTGATTGTTATTTCTGTGGTCATTAGTTTGGTCTTCTTAGTCCAATTTTTTTTTCTCTGTGCCCATTAACTTTCATTATTAGACTTGTAGATCATTTGCACTTTCAGCTATCAGATAGCATCATCAATTTGGCACAGGTTATTGACTTCCCTTCACCCACCCACCCCCAATTTTAAAACCATGCTCCTCTTCTTCTATAGACTGCTGTATTTAACATATGAGAACTGTATTAAAATTTGAAAGCAGTTTATTATCCAGCAGCCTTGAGAGAGAATTGATGGGGAAATAATATGGAAGAAATGTTCAGCATAGCACTGTTCTTAGAAAAGAAACTGACATATTTTAGGTTCATAGCATCTTACACTGGAAGTTATTCAAGAGTGTCCATTAAGAAATATATTTTGTCTAGCTCCCTGTTCACAGCAGGCCCAATGGCATAGTTACATGGCATCCGAGCTGCAATATACTTTACAAATACACTCTCCAAGGATTGTTATAAATAGTTTCACTATTTGGATGACTTTGGGGCATTGCACAAGACTGCAATTCAATTGAAAGGAGGGCCTGAGGGTGAAGTAAAATGAATCATAACCTCTCAATTGTCACCAACACCAGCATCACTGATATACTTTTCTCAAATGACTGTCTTCCCTCTAAACCTATAAACAAATTCCTGAAAACCAGACTACAGGGAAAGGAGAACTTCTAAAACATTACTAAAGCAAAAGAAGGAAACGCATCACAGAACTTTGCATATTAATTATATCCATGCTTAATTGAGTCCCTAGCATAGCTGAACATTGCAAATTTCTCAATTTTTTTTTGCATTTTTAACATGGCTGTCAGGAAAACCGGGCGAAATATCTTCTCTATTCTACTTTTGGATGAGTCATTCATTTCTCTATTGGTCAGTTGGTATATTCATTTCCTCACTCCATCATCAAAAAACAAGCCTTCATTCTATTTGGGAAGAATATTATTAATTCACATATTCTATACTACCTGGAAAATTTGAGCATTCTTTCTACCACACCATGCATTAAAGCAGTGGTTCTCAACCTGTGGGGTGTGACCCCATTTGGGGTCGAACGACCATTTCACGGGGGTCGCCAAACAACGCAGTCCGCCATTTTTTTCCCCTTTCTCTTAGCTACTCCCTTTTATTCTATTGGCTTTTGAAAGCCAATAGAATAGACTCTCTTGAATAGAGTCTAATTCTATTGGCTTTCAAAATCCAATAGGAATTGTCCAGGCTGTCTCTGCCCTGCTGAGCCCGCCAAAAGTCCCATTCTGCAAACGGTGCTGCAAGTTGTCTGCAGTGAAGGCGAGCTATCTGGAAGTTTCCACCCCTCCCTGCTGAGCAACTACTAAAAATGTAAGTAAAAGAGGGCCAGGGGTGGGAGGTGGGAGGCCGGTGGGTGCAGGGAGGGTTGCTGGCGCACGTGGGGCCGGCGGGTGCTTTACCTCCCTTGGGCTGGGCCAGCTGGTGGCCCAGCCGGTGGTCACCCTGCGCCGTCACTGCCCCTTGCCAGCCACGCCTCGGCCAGCGCAGGACCACGCATGCGCAGCGCTCCCAGGCAGGGAAAGTCCTCGACTTACGACTGGTTGAGTAGTCCTCGACTTACGACCAGTTGGGGGTTGCGGCATTAAAAAGGTTGAGAACCACTGGACTAAAGCCTACAAAGCCTAGCCAGAAAGCAAACTCTCAAACTCTTCAGCCAAGCAATGCTATCTGAAGCGGCCAGTGTATTGGATGAGAACCACTGATTTCAGGAAATGAAATGCCCTTTAGAGTTTTGGCTGCAAAAATCCACCAGCATTTACAAATGTTCCACCTTTCCTTTTCTACTATACTGTTCCTGTTAAAAATAAATACTTGATGGTCTAAGCATCTGACAGGTGATTTTTGATGTTACCTTTGAAGATGTGAGTAAATACTATTGTATGCCCTCCAAGATTGGGTTTGTTTCCGAGTTTTCATTTTTGGAAAACAAGTACTTAATGACATTAAAACAAGTTATATGCTATCTCTGGGATGAGGTTGAGTTTAGTCATATGAGCAAACCAGATGGATTTCTTTATATTTTTAGCAGAGATAAGAACACAGAAGCATCTCAAGAAGTCATGTTGCAGAAAAAGGTGGTGGCAACAACACAGAAACGAGGGGAGACCAGGGCCCTATGGCTAGGATTGGGAATGATGGCCTGCTCAGCGATGATGTATCTTTTTATTGGTTTAGTCCTGGTGCCTTTACATAGAAAAAGGTAAAAGTTTCTTTATTTCTTAAACCACACAAACAAATCTGGGTCTCCAAGCAGCAAATGAGTCTGCTTACAACTCCCAGCATTAACAGAAGACATTTGTATCGTGGGATGACTGGGAAATGTCTTTCTTATGTGCAGTGGGATGTATAGGTACAAAACATATGCCTTATTTCCATGATTTATTTCCTCTCAGTTTTTTTGCAGTGATGAGGAAATTAAACTAATCAGTTTTATGCATCATTTGCCCCTTTAAAATGCTGGGGAAAAGAAGGATACCAATAGAGAGTATGTTCCTATCGAGTGAATGGCTAGCTGGATTATACTAATGAATTTAATGTCACATAGCTCTGAACATGTGATGCCTCTCAAAATGGAAATTCTATTGTACTCAGAAAGCACTTAATAATGTTTATTAATATATGAAAGCTGAAACATAAATTGTTAAACTGGAGGATGTGTTGGTTAAATGGAAGAAGTTTTTGCTTCTAGAACATGAATTATTATCATTCTTCACAGTTAAGAACTTAATACTTGATAGCAATAGTATAACTGGGCACTGTGGGATCCCAGGTAGGATTATTTTTTCTATAGAGACAATCCCTATCTCCACTTGACCTATCAAATCCATTAGGAAGTAAAACTCTTTTTTGCATTATTCAAAACTGATCTGAATGTGGAAAGTTATCCTGTATTAATTTTAATCAATTAATCATAAACATCTCTATTTGTTTTGAAATACCTTTCTATTCAGTTTTTAGTAATCTGAAATACTAAGTATAAGTATGAAAGGCAATTTGGTGTAGTGGTTATGGCTTCAGGCTAGAAACCAGGACTATGAGTTCTAGTCCCACCTTAGGCAAAAAAGCCTGTTACTTTCTTAACCCAATGCACCTCAAAGGGTTGTTGTGGAGAAAATAGGAGGAAGGACTATTAAGTATGTTTGCCACTTTGAGTTATTTATAAAAATAATAAAGGTGGGATATAAAAAAAATATGGTTGTCACCCTAAAAAAAGCATACAATTATTGTATAAATTCCATATAATAAGAGGATCACAAAAATGCATGTGCAAATCTCTCTACAGACTAAACCAAGTCCATTTCTGAAAACATAGATATTATTTAAAATCTATGGGAAAAACACATTTAAAATCATGGAATATAGTTTATATATTTTTGCCACAACATTTTCTAAAATCTACATGTTCCTTCATTCACATAGACAATATAATTTTAATACTGTTCTGTCTCACCCCATTTTTCACACAAGACGTGCTGACAATCTCAGAAACAGATATATTTATGTACTACCACGTTTAAGTTATACATAAATTCTTAAAAATTTGTCTCTGCAGTGTCTGGGCTGATGAAAGTGAATGCAATCTGGTGAGAGCTAACATCAAGGAAAAAGTCCATTGTTCATTTGTTGAAGGCTCTGAAGATAAAGATATTTTTCACTATCCTTGTCTGGAAGTCTATGTGAATATAACCCTTTTAGGACAAGAGGTAATGCTCTACCACACAGAGAACACCGTGAACAGAAATCCCAAGGTTTGTGTGCTAGATATTAAGACTGTAACTTCTTTTTTTAATTTTTTTTAATTATTATTATTATTTTATTTTTTTTTAAATTAAAATTAAAAACAAAGACTGTAACTTCTGCTACTACTCAACAAATTCTAACCAGGCTCCATGTGAGAAGATATATAATAAATGATGATACAATGGCTATTCTTGTCAAATTATCCTTTCTTGTCCTGAAATATCACTGAAGCAAAAGGCCATATGGCAGAGTTTTGTCTGTCCTGGTAGAGTATGCAAATGATAAAAGTTTTTGAATAGTAATGAATTTTGTTTGGCCACAATCTTGAATTCCTAGCCTGTCAGCAATATGCAATGTTGATAGTATTTATACAGTTGTTCCTCGCATAAAAGATATCACTTGGGCTCTGCGGCATTTAAGTAGTAGTCTGATGGAAGGCAGTTTCTCTTTGCCTTAGCGAAGTTCCCCAAATAAACAACTTTATACTCACTTTGCCTCAACTCCTAGATATACTTCACATAGCAGCTTTGAAAGAATGTTACACTTAAATCAATAATGTTATCCTCTCCATACAGTATATTGTATTTCTGAATGGCTCATCTCCCTCAAAGAGGGACTCTGGACAGTGTATAATAAATAAAAGTCATTACTATTCAGTATCATTACTGCAAGGTTACATATGCAAGAATCATTTTTGCCCTTCCAAGACTACATTTTCTTCTGGAATTCAGAGTGATCCCGATTATCAGAAGCTATAACAGAATAAAACTAAACATGCTCATCATCCTTGTACTATGTAAGAACAATTCAGAATGATAGCAAATACAGTTCTTTAAGCTGTTATTTGCCATAATATATAAATGCTGTTTCCTCTAGCTGTCTTCTTTAAAATTAATCATGCTTTACATTCCTTCATTTTCAGGCTCATATCTTATGGAACCGATCACTCTGCTATAATTCATAACCTAGCAGAAAATCATTTCATTTACACAGCAATCTATAATTCTGTAGATAACAACAATAAAGCAAATTTTCCTGAAGGGCAGCTCAGTGTTTACTTTAAGGCCTTGAAATGGTGCTTACACATTCAATCTCCAGCAGGCAAGAGCAGTTAAAAAGAGAAATCAGGAATACTCACACTGTATTTGGTTACTTCCTTCAAAACGGGGTAGACCTCAGATTTCCTGCCTTTTCAATTAAACAGTCCTAATTTTAGGAGAGTACTTATTTTTGTCTCATGGTGACCAGAATTGGATAAAAACTGGTGGGATCATAAAATAGAGAAAGTCATAGAAAATGATAAAATTAAATTGCTCTGGGACTTCAGAATTCAAACAGACAAGCACCTGCAACATAACACCCCAGACTTGACAATTGTCGATAAAAAAGACAAAAAAGTCTGGATAGCGGACGTGGCAGTGTCTGGAGACAGCAGAATAGAAGAGAAAGAACTGGAGAAGATAACAAAATTCAAAGACCTACAAATAGAAATAGAAAGACTGTGGCAAAAGCAAGCAAGGGTAGTACCAATAGTCATAGGCGCCTTGGGTACAATCCCAAAACAACTAGAGCACCACTTGAACACCATTGGCATTGACAAATTCGCTATTAGTCAATTGCAAAAGGCGGCCTTACTAGGAACTGCTTCCATCCTGCGACGATATCTGTAATACCATCAAACATCGGCATCTGCCTATCCGAGGTCCTGGGTAAGGACTCGATAGGTAGACAAAATGCCAACTCCACTCTGAACATCTGGCTGACTGTGTGATGATCAATAATAATAATAATAATAATAATAATAATAATAATAATAATAATGCTTCCATCCTGCGACGATATCTGTAATACCATCAAACATACGCATCTGCCTATCCCAGGTCCTGGGTAAGGACTCGATAGGTAGACAAAATGCCAAATCCAGTCTGAACATCTGGCTGACTGTGCGATGATCAATAATAATAATAATAATAATAATAATAATAATAATAATAATAATAATAATAATAATAATACTTCCATCCTGCAACGATATCTGTAATACCATCAAACATCCGCATCTGCCTATCCCAGGTCCTGGGTAAGGACTTGATAGGTAGACAAAATGCCAAATCCAGTCTGAACATCTGGCTGATTGTGCGATGATGATGATGATTAATAATAACAATAATAACAATAACAATAACAATAATAATAAAGTTGGAAGGGACCTTGGAGGTCATCTAGTCCAACCCCCTGCTCAGGCAGGAAACCCTACACCAGTGGTTCTCAACCTGTGGGTCGGGACCCCATTTGGGGTTGAATGACCATTTCACGGGGGTCGCCAAACCACGCTGTCTGCCATTTTTTTCCCTAGCTGTCCTACTCCCTCTTATTGGTGGCCACACCCACTTGGGGGTCACCACAACATGGGGAACTGTATTATGGGGTCATGGCATTAGAAAGGTTGAGAACCACTGCCCTACACCATTTCGGACAAATGGCTGTCCAGTTTCTTCTTAAAAACTTCCAGTGTTGGAGCATTCACCGCTTCTGGAGACAGGTTGTTCCACTGGTTAATTGTTCTAACTGTCAGGAAGTTTCTCTAGTTCTAGGTTGCTTCTCTCTTTGGTTAGTTTCCACCCGTTGCTCCTTGTCCTGCCTTCAGGCATTTTGGAAAATAGCTTGACACCCTCTTCTTTGTGGCAGCCCCTGAGATATTGGAACACTGCTATCATGTCCCCCCTCGTCCTTCTCTTCTATAACTAGACATACCCAATTCCAGCAATAATTCCTTATATGATTTAGCCTCCAGTCCTCTAATCATATTTGTTGCTTTTTTCTGTACTCTTTCTAGAGTCTCAACATTTTTTTTACATTGTCGTGATCAAAACTGGATGCAGTATTCCAAGTGTGGCCTTACCAAGGCATTGTAAAGTGGTATTAACACTTCACATGATCTTGATTCTACCCGTTAATGCAGCCTAGCACTGTGTTGGCTTTTTTGCCAGCTGCAGGACAATGCTGGCTCAAATTTAAATGATTGTCCACTAGGACTCCGAGATCCCTCTCACAGTTACTAATATTGAGCAAGGTACCCCGTATACTATACCTGTACATTAGGTTTTTCTTGCCTAAATGTAGAACCTTACTTTTTTCACCATTGAATTTCATTTTGTTAGATAGCGCCCAGTGTTCAAGTCTGTCTAGATCCTCCTGTATCCTAAGCCTGTCTTCTGGAGTGTTGGCTATTCCTGCCAGCTTGGTGTCGTCTGCAAATTTGATGAGTTCCCCATCTATCCCCTCATCCAGATCATTGATGAAGATGTTGAAGAGCACTAGGCCCAGAACAGAGTCCTGGGGCACCCCACTACACACTTCTCTCCATGTAGATGCGGTTCCATTGAGGACCACACGCCAAGTACAGCCGGTCAGCCAGCTATAGATCCATCTGGTGGTGATTCAGTCTAACCCGCACTTTTTCTATCTTCTCAAGTAGTAGTTGTGGTCTACTTTGTCAAATGCCTTACTGAAGTCCAAGTAAATTATATCCACAGCATTCCTCTGGTCCACTAATTTTGTCACTTGGTCAAAGAATGCAATAAGATTTGTCTGGCATGATCTATTTTTGACAAACCCGTGTTGGCTTTTAATAATGACTTTGTTTGCCTGTAGGTGTTCGCTGATTCGTTGTTTGATTATCTTTTCCAGAATCTTCCCAGGTATTGAGGTCAGGCTGATAGGTCTGTAATTTCCAGGGTCCTTTTCCCCCCTTTTTTTGAAGATGGGAACTACATCAGCTCTTTTCCAGTCCTCTGGTAGTTCCCCAGTGCTCCAGGATCTTTGAAAAATATAGTTCAGTGGTTCTGAGATCACATCTGCCAGTTCTTTAAGAACCATGGGGTGTAATCCATCTGGTCCTGGTGATTTGAATTCATCTAGGCTGGACAGTTGTTCACTTACCATTTCCTTGCCTATCTTAACTTGTATTTCTATTTTGTTTTTTATGGCACTATTTTTGATAGGTTGGTCTGTTTTCTCCCTTTGTATAAAGACAAATGTGAAAACGAGTTAAATAGTTCTGCTTTCTCCCTGTTGCTTGTCACCTTCTTGCCACTTTGATCCACTAATGAACCAATTGTTTCCTTCACTTTTTTCTTGTTTTTTTACATGTTGAAAGAAGCTTTTTTTGTTATTATATAAATGAAATGAAATATTACCATGAACTAATTTTTCTTAAGTAAAATTGGATCTGCAAGGTATAACTAGAAATGTTGCTTCATTTATCTTCAATGCTCAAGTTTGTAAATAAAAAAAGCACATTACAAATTTTATATTACAACAATATACTGGACTTCCAAGGTATTCTACCCAAGGCACTGGATTGTCATATGGTTCATATCACTAGACTTTCTTCCTTTCCTTCCCCAATACCATAGAATCCTATTAATGCTAAATGTTTAGCATTTTCTCAAAACATTTCTTAGGCTTTTTAATATAATATTTGATTGACACTACTCTTAGCAGAACATCAAATTCATCTCACCAACAATTCACATTGTCTCATATCAATGGATAACTTAACATTTCAGCATGCTAAAATTTTTAATAGCATCATTCTATATATGCTTATCCCCCAAGAAATGTATAGTTTAAAGTTTATATTAGTCCATTTTAACTGCAATATTTATAATTGTTTCTTCATGAAACTGTACCCCCACCTTTGTGTGTATTGCGGGCAAAGTGAAAACACGAGCTATAACATTATAAATAACTATCTACTGTATATGCCGATTTAACCAATAGGATTTAATCCCTAAGTCTACAGATCAAATATCTGTAGAAAATTATAAAGAAGCAAACTATACATGAAACCTAATTATCAAAACTACAAAGATAGCCATAGAGTTCCCTTCACTGTTTACAACTAAGAAAGTGTCACTTCATAACTCTAAGATGAAATTCAAATATTTAATTCCAAAACATTGAATATAATTCTCACATTTCTTCCCAAAATGTACAAAGTTGTAGAACCTTTAAAAAGGTCTATGATATCCCCTTCTTCAGTAAAATTTCATTAATCCATTTTCCTTCTAATCTAATATCCTGCTTATTAGCAAATGTGTTAGTTCATTCCTAATGCTCTATTTGTAAGCTGTCCGGTTATGCATAGTTAATGGGGTGGTGTACAAATTTAATAACTAATAAATAAAATAACATCCCTTCTATCTATACTCACATAAATAATATTTCCATGCTTTGGGAGGAAGGGAAGGTGGGAGGGAGGGAGGGAGGAAGGAAATCTATGATCCCAGTTATTTCTTAGCAATAATTCCCTGCAACCCTATACTATACCTGTAGTACAAGTAGTTCCTTTAGTTCCAATCACAGCAGAGGAAAAGACTTTTGATTTCTTAATCGCTTGCAAGAATAGGTTGAGTTATGATCTTTCTCTGACCTTGAAAAACTTTGGTTAATTACAAGTAAATACTATAAAGGAGAGCTTTGGAAAGATCATGGATTCCCCTCAACAGTGATGGCAAACCTTTTAGAGACCGAGTGCCCCAAAACTGGCTCCACCGCTGCTCTGCCCCCTGCCCTGCTCCCACTCTGCCCCACCCTGCCTGCCTCCACTTACCACCTCCAGGGCCCACCACAGATCACCCAGGCAGCCCAGCAGTGCCATGGCAGCCACGCCCTCTGCCCGCACCCCACAGCATCAACTGTGCGTGTTGGGCGTGAGGGCAGAGTCTTGTCTATTCTGACTGGCTGCCATGTCCTTGGCTGCGCTGGTCCGTATGAGCCACGCTCAGGGGCAACTCTCCTCCAGGGGGGTTGCGGTGAGGAGGGGATCACAGGGGGAGGCAAGACTGGGGCAACGGTACGTGTGCCCACAGAGAGGCACCCATGCCATAGGTTTGCCACCACTGCCCTACAAAGTCGCAATAGGATACATACAGTATTCATAATCTAGAACACACTAGCCACAGTGCAGAATATTAACGCAGCATTGATTAAAAGTACCCCCAAATTACTGTTTTACGGTCAGTAAATAGTTGTGAAAAGCAGTATCCTAAGTTTTCTTTCTTTTTTTTTGCAGTGCTCCTATATTCCCCCTGAAATGGAGAATTATAAAAAAGTTCAGCAGCACGTAAAAGAGATAAGAGACAATTTCAGAAAGCATCGGACATTTCTTTGCCATTATGACCCATCAAGAACAGTAGAGAGCGTTCTTTTAAAGAGATTGTATCCTCCAGAAGGTCTTCTCATTGCTTTTGCCTGGCCAAGTATGTTGTTGATTGGTGGAATCTTAATTGTCATCTTGGTGAAATTAAGCCAGTATCTTGCCTTAGTCTCTGCTACAAAATCCAGAACACTCATATAGCTTTTTCTGAGATCTGGACTTTATATTCACTTTTGTACAGGTAATTCTCGACTTACAATAGTTCATTTAGTCACTGCTCAAAGTTACAACGGCACTGAAAAAAGGGATTTACGATCGTTTTTCACACTTATGACCACTGCAGCATCCCCATGGTCATGTGATTAAAATTTGGAAGTTTGCCAACTGACTCATATTTATGACGGCTGCAATGTCCAAGAGTCATGTATAATCTTCTTACAAGCAAAATTAATGGAGAAGCCAGATTAACTTAACAACTGTTTTGCTAACTAAATAATTGCAGTGATTCATTCAACAACTGTGGCAAAATGGGGCAAAATTCACTTAATAAATGTTTCACTTAGCAATAGAAATGTTGGGCTCAGAAATGTTGGTCATAAGTCGAGGACTACCTATATTAGAGGCAAATTGGGAGCAACGTCTCAAGTTTACCCTAAGGCTAAACACGGTAGTAAAGACAAGGAAAATATAGATAAGTTTGCTGATCGGAGACATTCAAATTATACTTCTTTGAATTCACCACATTTTACAAATTCAGATATATTATTTAAATTTGAGAAAATTTGAGAAAATAGTTGTGTTAATATTTCTTGTCATGGTGAGGAATTTGAGTGAGGTACCTGATTTAATTTTTATCTACGTGATCACTGAATATGCTCTTGCACTATTTTATGGCTTTATTAAAATCAGGGATATGTACTTAGACCTAAGTCTGCTGTACTCTATGAAGGCTAAAAAAAAAAACAGCTCGAGCTTAACTCCTGATGACTTCATGGACACATCAATGTAGCTTTTTAAGCAGCAATACAGAAATGGTTTGTCATTGCCTTCTTCCAGCTCTGAAAGATAAGAGTTGTGCAATATTTTTTCTATAAAAGCAACTGGCTACAAAAGATGCATGTACTATCACAAGCTTACATTGAGAGGGTCTGTCATGGCAGAATGACCACTATTGACTTGCAACCTCATCCCCCTTCTGCCACTAACATGGCAGCCTAAAAGGGTCATTTGCCTAAATCTCTTGAGAAACATAGTTCCCCCTGTTTTTAAGGTTAAATAACAGGGGGAGAATGTACTCAAGATTTTTGTTCTTAGAATCTTCCCAAAGAAAGAGCAGCTTGGCTCTGGGATGAAGAAAGAAAGCATGCAGGACCATAAACCGATTCCAAGATAATAAAATGTAATTTTCTAGGACTTTGTAAAGAGTCAGTCACACACAGGCTTCTCATAGCAGCAAATGACAAGAAGCCCATTTTTAAATTTCATCTTATTTTCAATGTGCTCAAAGACTTTCCGATTCTTTCCACAGATACATTTTTTCCCCTGAGGTTCAGCTCCACTTTAGATGACACTTATACAACCCTTTTCTTCTAAACCCAACATTCATTCATTTTTTTTCATTCATTTTTTTTCTTCTAATAAGGTATATAATATTTTAAACAGACTTTTTCATGCCGGTTTGAATCTTGTAGTAGCAAGATTCCAAAAGCTCAGGCCTCTTCAGATTAGCTATTACTAAGTGGACTTAAACCATTTTTTTCAATTAACAGTAAAGAGGAGAATTTTCCTTTTTCTGGCCTGTTTCTAAATTCCTGTTGAAGAGAGGAAAATGAGATTGTGGTGGCAACCACCAATGAACACGTTAACTGCAGCACTGCCTCACACTATTTTGGCTGGATGAGGCCATCCTGTGATCAGCATAAAAATCAGTCCTTAGTTCTCCATATTAGTTTATAAGGAGGATATTTTTAATATTCAGCACTTACATATAGTTATGTGATGGCATCCTAATAAATTCAGTTCCTCCTGTCCATCCTGTGAATGGACAAGCACCTTCATTCAATGTTACATTTAATTTCATTTATCAAAGAAACACATACACCTTAGAAGGGCAAAGGCTTTAGTGAGGGGTGGGGGGGTGTCTAATTTTCAAAGTATCCTTTCTTTTGCTTTTAGTAGCTCATCCTGCAACTCAAACATAAATGGAAGCCAAAGCAACACATTCTGCAAAAGATTCTTAATATTTAGAATATTCTTGAGGATTTTATATGTTCACAGCCATAAATACATATATATTTACCCATCAAATTTCAGAAATCAAAAAATCCCATTCAGAAACAATGCTATACTTTAAATGTTTTGCTTATTTATTATTTTATAAATTTCTGAAATCTGGAAAATATAATGAAACAGTGCATAGTGGACATTAAAAAGAAAGCACAGGGAAAGTATCCAAATCAGAGAAACCTTCAGCCTTCTGTTTATAACCACTGGGCTACTACAGCTTTCATACAAGGATAAAGACCCAAAATGTACCAGACACCATGTAAGCATTGACTCAATTGAAGGGGAGTTCTTGCCTCTAAAATAGCTCGTGAATCTCTGAGGTTATCCTGAATAAACTGAGGCAAGCTATCCCAAAGATACAGAAGTGCTCTAGGCAACATAACACGGAAAACTGTGTTTTGAAAGTGGAGCAGAAAAATGCACCATGAGTTACTTTGATACTAAGTATGGAATTAACAGGGTGGGTTGCTGTCTGTTTCTGTCTTCCAGAAATGATGGTTAGTCTATTGCAGTGACATGACAACAGGCAACATATTTTTTAAAATCAATTTGAAACACAATGCTTATTCTAAGCATCATATTCCAAATTCATTTTAAAAAAATGAACATCTGAATCCCGAATGCATCCTGAGTTAATGAGTAAGTGAAAGGGCTTACATTTTCTTTCCCAAGCTTCCTCAAATTTCAGGTTATAATAAAAAGATTTTGTATCTGAAGTTTACAAAATTAGACAGTTACTGAGGCATGTTGCAGCTTGCATGTTTATCCCTGCAAGATCACTTCATTACACGGAATAGCAGATTCTCTTAAACTGATGATAACAAAGCTATCTACCTAAGAATTGTGGGATGGAAGAACATAAATTTTTCTGTTGTAAAAAATCTGCAGGAGTGAAAATGCACTTATTTTAATTAGATTATTCAAGGTGCAGTTTATGTGATTTTCTTCACCAGCCTTGAAGCAAGCACCATAAAAAACTCAATGTACTAGTAAATTACTATGATGCACTACTGTAATCATTGTCATTAGCTGTGCATTAAGCTAACATTTATAGCTTTAGTGCTCAGTGAACTGCACAGCTGCTTGCCTATGTGTTGCCTAAAGCCATAGTTAACACATTCACAGAAGCTTCTTAAAAGCAGATTCTAACTATCAGGCCAATAGCAGCTTGAGCTAAAGAAATTATGTCTGTGCAATGTTTTCTAATGAGCAACTCTTCATTGCTTACTACAAAGCAATTATTTTGCCATAATGAATTGGCACTCACAACAGAAAGGGTGGGTTGGTTAAAGGGATTTTACCTTCCTTGAACACCAATTTATTCAGCATTTTTTCCTTTCTCATAAGGTTTGTCACTACCCAGCAAATCACTAATTTAGACTTAAAATTAAAGCTAAACTGAATTCTTCCAGAACATTTTCACATTTATTCTTTCTGGTGTATGAGCTCAACCTAAACTAGACCCAATTTTTTAATCATACACCACCTCTTCAAGAACAGAATTCTGTGTATTGCTTTTGAATCACTGTGCCAACAATAGTTAGAGATGTATCCAGTCAGCTTTAATTGCTCCACTAGTTCACTCTTTTTATGATGCATAATTTTAGTAAGTATGTTGGTTATAATAGTAAAATGTAATACAAACAAAAATTAAAAAGAGAAAGAATAAAAGGTGAAAAGAAAAGAAAGAAGCAAGAATATAATGAATAAAAAATATAAAGAAATGACTTCCAACCTTCGTCACAATAAACAAATTTAGTGACTCTTCATTGCCTCTTAGGTTACAATTAACTGTCAAACCTATATCCCATCCCTTATCTATAGACAAATCCATAATGCATTATCTTTTAAGTTCATAAAGAGTTGCCAGAGATAACATCTTATTTTAACCTTGATCAAATAAGCCAACTTTATATTCCTTCCTTTTAATTCCAAGTTTTTATCTTTAGCTAATTCATTTTTTTCTATTTATTTTTATCCCACCTTTATTATTGTTGTAAGATTTGATTTTTCTTCATTTAATTTTTATCCCATCACACAGAATTCTTCAAGGTTTTAAGAATCCTCTTTTGTAAATCCAATAGAAAAAAAATGTCCCAGTCACTCTCTTGGTTTATAATCTGGATTTTCCTCTAGTCAGATAAAATTTGTTCTGCATCTGTCATTTCTTTAATAGCATCTACTATCCAGTTTTTAAATCATGAAATTACATATCTCTGTCTTCCAAAAACCAAAACAGATCTATTTCTCATGAGCAGCTGTTTATTCATAAGGAATTCCAAAATCTTGTTTAAAAAGTATCTAGAACTTTAGTCTATTTATAATTTTCTAAAATCAAAAACTTATTCAGTTTTTTGCTCTTTATTTCTTATTCCATATCTTCTTAAGCTTGCAACTAATTTTTCTTTTGTTCAGAGTTGAAGTTAAATTCTCCCAATGAAGACTTTTCAGATGTGTCATTCTAAAGGCCTTTAACAGCTTTAAAATTATTGCAATTTCCAAAGGTGAGTAGAAATGAGGGTGCAAACTTTGTGTCCTTTAAAAGGCCCCATTATGGATCCAAGCAAGATGGCTAATTCCTTCATGTTCCAGCCATCAAATCCACAGAAAAACACTGTCTTGTGATCTTCTCACAAGGAAAAGCAATCCAGAGCATCTGTGGGCAATCTACTGTTCACTCCTATTCAGAGAAGTTTCCAGGAACTGATCTACTCACCAGTTCCTTCATCTATGTTGCTGTTGTTGGCTCTTCAATTCATCATTCCTCCCCTTCTCTTTATGAAGGCAGGACATGAATTATCATATCCTGACTCATTTACCTTACTGCATAGAATTTAGCATGAACCATAGTCCCACAAATATAATGCACAAAATATTTATCAACAAATTGTTTTATAGATCACATTGCATCAACCTTGGATCAACTTTACTCATGTCTTCTCCTGGCTCCACACCCATCTCATACTGATTTTAAATTTATAAATGGTTACTATAGCCATGATGTATCCTTCCAAATGAAACTATTCTGTAATTTGTAATTGTCATCAGAAGCTCTGTGATACATCTCTTCACCTTGATAACATCTTAGTAAGGCCTTTTTGGTAGTTGCTAGATTATCTGCACTGAACAGATTGTCTCTCTCGTTTATGATAGATTTGAATAAATGTTGTCCTTTTTAATTTCTGTGCATCTTATTCCTTAATTTGACAATCATTCTCAATTGTTTGGCATGTTTATCTCTTTTCTTGTGTTTCAGTATAACATATTTTCATATACTTTATCACAGACATCACTTAAATAATAACATTAAAATGCCTGTTGTTTCTATAGGAATCCCAATAGCTATTATACCCAGAAGCTGTTTGTCCTTTAAATAACCAAGGAATATATTGTTACTTACTGAGATTTAACAAAAGGATGGTGTATATAACATGAAAGTGGTGCATTGACTTTTTCACAATTTCTGAAACAGACTGTTTCAAGGATGTTTATTTATACCATTCTTCGTAGAATAATGTTTTGTTTCTTTGCAATGACAAACAATGAATTTCATCAGAAAAGTCCTCAAGCAGCACTGTAGATTAACTCTTACCGGACCTTCTATTCTTGAGACATTATCTGAATATTTCTATTATTTAGTATTACTTTATGTCGCTGCTACTTTTGTTATAATTTGTTGCTTTTATTTAACTATCAAATATACACAGTAAACCGAACTTTGGAGCAAATTAATATTCTATTAGTTATATCATTAAAAATTTTCTTCCAAAAATTTGAAATATTATCCCATTTCCACTAAAACTGAAACAATGTTTTCTACAGTTTACAGTGATGTTAATATAATTCTTTAGGAATAGATGCCACCATTCAGGATATTTAATCCATATCTCCAGGTTGCCTTCAATTGCCTTATCACAACATCAGTCAATTCGGCTCATTTATTGTAATCCTTTTCAGGGGTCACCAGCCGCCAGACCTAGATCCAGTACCGGGCCAGGGCCTGTTTGGAACAGGGCTATGGAAACAGTGGGTAAGCGTGCAGGCAGCTCCATTTGTATGAGTGGCAGGCATGCCTGTGTATTGCTCACACAAACGGAGCTGCGCACATGCATCATTCACCCACTGCTTATAAGGAACCATCCCCCCCCCCCCGCTGATCTGCAAAGCTGGAAAGATTGGAAACCACTGATCTTGATGGTTCCATGGCAATGAAAATGAAGCCTTGTGGCTACTCTGAACTAATTAAAGGACAACCCTTCATGCTTTGTACAGGTTTTTCTCTCTCATGTACTTTTCATTTCATGAGGTTATTATCCAGGTCCTCTCCATGAGGTTAAGTGGGCTTCTACAAGTTGGAGAGGTTTTATGGAATTCCCTACTCAGAAAGACCTAATTGACACCCACACTATATCATTTCAGACCACGTGAACACCTTTCTGTTGGCCCAGGCTTTTTAACTGGTCTTAAGTTGTACTGTAGTTGCATTTTAATTCATATTCTTTTAGTTTTGGATGATGTCTTACAGCCACCTAACTTACACGGTATTTCTCACAACCTCTTTTTTTAAAAAAAATGTTGGTGATCTGGGTATGATGCCCATCATCCCATTCATCACCAGGACTGATTCAGCTGAACTTCTTTTTTGATGTTGTAAAACTTGATGTCAAACTATAAGATAAAAATGAATAAAATAATTTCTTAGCAATAAATGTTGAATAATATTTTACCCATACAATAGGAGGTAGCAATTTCTAAATACCTCATGTATTCAATACTTTCAACCCATAAGAAACCTAGTTATTTTTCATCTAAGTTCCAGACAAGTATTTAATCCAATATTGGATTGACTGTTCAAAAGTGTTGCCCTTTTCAAAAGCAATCTACATTTATACATTGTCCTGAAATTGTTTCATCATTAATCTTATCCACAGTGTTCAACTCCCCACATCTGCCCTTTTAAAAAATGTATCATTTAATCCTGCAATGCTAAAATACATATCAAACCATGAATGATTACTTCTAAATTATATCTTTGAGGAAAAGCAAGATAATTTAACATTAATTAAACCTAAGCAAATAAATAATTATAAATACTTAAACAAGCTGATTTATTAATTGATAAGAAAAAGTGTAAATACATTTCCAGTTTTGAATAACATCACTCTATAATTTTTCCATCATCACCTTGTGCAATCTTAAATGAAAAATATAATTCAACTATTTAGTCTTTAGACATTGTTCAAAACATTTTTCTAATTAGTTCATTGTGTGCCTTGCATGTTGATGTGCAGTTTTCTTTAATTCAATTGCATTTATTTGTATTTTCAAAGTGTTCATTATGTCATATTAAGCATTTTCTTTGTTCAGCTGTTATGGCATTTCATAAGACATCTTAAATTACTTTGAAGAAGCAAGTTAGCAACTTCTCAGTAGGTTTCCTGCAATTCCAATAAAGCGTAATCAATTATTCTCTTAAAATCCATGATGCCAGTTTTACAACATTTTGCCTTTCCATGTTTAAGAATAAACTATGGTCTGCTGAATATGCACACAATCCTTGATATATGTTAAGAAATGAAGATTAAATTAAATTTCTTTGTATGCAAAAACTACAAGGAGGAACTAACCCTTACATCTTCAACTGACATCCAAACAGGAAAATACTTCTAAATGCTTGCTATTTATTCTATTTTTTTAAAAAATGTAGGAACACAACCTCACTTCTAGTCTATGTGACTTTTCCAGTAATTCTTACTCTATGTAAGGCTCCTGCTTAGGAAATATGCATTAGATCAGGGGTATCAAACTACCAGCCCGCGGGCCGGACGCGTCATCTGAAACCACACACACACCATTGCCAGCAGTAGAAAAAAAATTCACGATACATCACAACATGTCACATGACATTGCAAGTTTGACACCCCTGCATTAGGTGAACCTGCATTAAAACAAATATCTCCTACTTTCCTCAAGTTTTCTCGGCCATTGCTTGGGACCTGTGAGCCCTGAGAAGCTAAGACTGGGTGATTATAATTAGTTACAAATTGTGTTAGGACAAGGCGATTCTAATATAAGACTGATATTTCACCAATGGGGAGAATTGGTCAGAAAGTGGACTTGGGGAGGGGGAAATTGGGACTATTTATTCGTGAGAGGATTCGTCATATTCCAACTCTGCATCTTGCCTGTTACTTTCATTATTCGTTACATAAAAGACAACAGGAGTGATGAAAGTACATCATGCTGCTAAAAAGGGGAAGTGAATTGCTTCTCAAAGAACGTGCATCTATTTGTACGTTCTATTTTTTGAAAAGATGAAGAATAGAAAACAATAGAAAACAACAGTTTTAAACAGTTCTAAAAGTTTATTAATTCAAACTAAAAAGATCCTCTAGATTAGACAAAGGTCAACATTAACAATTGGGAACATTCCATACTGGCCAATAACCTTAGAATAGACTGAATAGTTGCTGTAATCCATATCAGGGATAGGCTACAATAGCAATTGCACAATAAACATCTGGAGACTACTTTCCTAATATGGGATTAAATGTGCCATGTTCTCACCAACTGATCATCAAAGGAAGTTTTGGTGGCCTCTAGTTAGCTTTCTTTAAAAAAAATGTAAAAAGTGATTGTGTTAATACAATATCTACTTTAGATATAAAATACCCCTTTCACTACAGTTGTATAAAACTACTTTATTCTCTCCTACCTGCAAATTCATATGGCTCCAAGGTTGATATTGTCATCATCTTTGAAAATGTGGCTGTTGTCCTCCATTTTGGGCTAGAATGGTTATTGAGCCCTGATGGTTTCTTGTTGGTATAATAGGTATCTATTTTAGCCTATTTTATTCTTCTTTACTTTTTAAAAAATTACTCCATACAGAGTCCTTTGAAATCAGATGACATATATTTATCAAATAAATTATTTATATTTATTATTTTATTAATTAATACACCCCATATGCACAATATGCATCCACACATTACTCTAAGTGACAGGGGGTTTTTTTTTGTTTTGGTTTAGTATATTTATGAGTCTTCATAGAGCAGCATGATACAGTACATGAAATCAGGCAACTGAGTTAACAAACTATGGTGATATACACATTTATATATGCACTCAAATTTGCAATAAATTGAACTTAAAATGTTTTCTTGATTAACTATTTAAATATTTCTGAATCACACACTAAAGTTTTTTCCCCAAATAAACAACGGGATAGGGTGATAAATCCCCAAGACTTAAGTATAATTAAACTGACGAGAGATATTATTAATATATTTCAAAAACAGTACATAGTCTTTAAATAGCCATAAATGCAGCTTATAAGACTAACTAGACTATAAAAGTCATCAGAATTTATTCAAACATCAATGAATAAAAAAAGTGATTATGAATACTAGCTTCTAATTTCTTACCCACACAAGAGACGATTAAGATTTGAGCTTCAGATTTCTTCAACATTCAAAGAAAATTGTTCATTAAATCAGCAGACAGTAAAGGCAAGGACACAATTCATAGGATGCACAGCAATTATCAGGACCACCCTGAGCCTTGGAGGAAGATGTGGAATAGTCACACTTCAAAAAAATGAGAAAAACCAGGAGAAAAGCTAAATTTGTTTTTATTTGCATGTCAATATAAATAAAACTAAATAAAAAACAAATGGGATTACTTACATACATTTATTCATATTCACTTCTAGTCACATTTAAAATTACAATTCCATGACAATTTCTGGAGGATCTTTAGAGATTCACCTAAGATTCTCAGGAGAGGACAAAGATGTGTTTTGCATGGAATAAATCCAGATATTTTCCTTAAGTTACCAAGATCTTAAGTAAGAGAGAAAGCAGTCAGCTTAAACTATAAAATCTGGTGTATTGCTTTATTATAGCTACTATTTGATTATATTTGAATTATTAGATTGTTAGGATTTTACTGCTATTGTTTGATTATATAAAAATTGACTGAAGGCCATGGACTATGTTTGTGACCCATCAGCTATAAAGAATAGAACTATTTAGATTTGCAAGAATGTTAAACTTATCATTCGCTAACTTCCCTGGGGAAGCACATTCCAGCACAACCGATCTATCAGCATTATTTACAAATGGAAATGGAGGAATCTTCCAAATAAGTGGAAAGATTATATCATTAGAATAGATTTATGTCTAATGTAGCTTCTGCCCTACTTCTTTCTCAGAGGGCCAAGTATTGCAAGACAGTCCAAGGACCTAGTGCTCTATAGGTATTTTTGTCCCAGGAGAAAATGAATTCCAGTCATGCCCTGAAAAGCTGCCAAAGTAATACAGACCACTAGCACATTACAGTACCTCCTCTGTGAATTTATTTTCTTCCTCGCTTGCAGTTCCACTTTAACTTCATCTTCAAACTGCCAGCAGATTCAGCTTGAATTCCCATCTGAGCTGCTTCTCTGCTTAAAATGCTTAATTATCATACTAGTAAAAGACTCCGATGTAGCGGTAAGCGAAAGTGCAAAAAATTTCAAGAGCATCTTAAGACATATTTTGGCAGAAAAAAAAGAACAAAACTGAAATTGGAGGACAAATTTTGGAAAAGTGTTAATTCTTGGCAAGTGCTCAGATAGGCTTTTTTAAGTATGGTTTATTCTTGAGTCACAAATTCTATTTTTAATAACATTTCCCCTTTGTCCTGCCTACATGGATTATCCAATATCTTCACAAAATCCACAAGAAAACTTCAACCTAAATGAAATATCGTATTTCCCCAAAAGTAAGACCTACCCCGAAAATAAGCTGTAGGTTGATTTTTGGGGTGGGCCTAATATAAGACCTACCCCAAAAATGAGCAATAGTTTTGGGACGAGACACACAACTAAAAATCAAGCTACGGTGGGGATGGGGCTGCCCCACGTGCCCCGCACCCACTTACTAGGCCTCCCATGAATCAACACCTGCTTCTCCTTACTGGATTTCCAGAGGGCCTCTGCAGCTGAAAACTGAGCTATGGATTCAATCCATAGCTTAGTTCTCGGCTGCAGAGGCCTTTCAGAAAGGACTCTGACTGTGAAATGCAGGCCGCAGCTCATTCTCAGCTGCCGAATAAAGCTGCTCCTTTGGCCGCAGAAGTGGGCCGGCTGGGTGGGGCTATCAGTGCCACCACCGTGAGATGAGTGGAAAAGACACCCCCCGAAAATAAGATCTGGTGCCTTTTTTGGAGGCAAAAAAAGGGGAAACACGGTATTAATTGTGATCTAGAGAATAAAATATTCAATATATACAGTATTGCATGATGAACAAGAGTATCTTAAGAATATAAATTCTTCCAATTATTCAAAAACACACTATAGGCATAGCTTTTCCCAATTATTTCTGGTCATGCATTCACTTTATGTCAGCTGAGCTGACCTTAAGCCAGTGGTTCTCAACCTTTTTAATGCCGCGACCCCCAACCGGTCGTAAGTCAAGGACTACCCAACCAGTCGTAAGTCGAGGACTACCCAACTGGTCGTAAATTGAGGACTACCCAACCGGTCGTAAGTTGAAGACTTTCCCTGCCCGGGAGTGCCGCGCATGCGTGGTGCCGCCCCCTGCGCCGGCTGAGGTGTAGCTGGCAAGCGGCAGAGACGGTGCAGGCCGACCACCGGCTGGGCCACCAGCTGGCCCAGCCCAAGGGAGGTAAGGCACCCGCCGGGCCCCATGCGCGCCAGCAACCTTCCCTGCGCCCGCCGGCCTCCCACCTCCCACCCCGGCCCTTTTTTACTTACATTTTTAGTAGTTTCTCAGCAGGGAGGGGTGGAAGCTTCCAGACAGCTCGCCTTCGCTGCAGACAACTTGCAGCATCATTTGCAGAATGGGACTTTTGGCGGGCTCAGCAGGGCAGAGACAGCCTGGACAATTCCTGTTGGCTTTTGAAAGCCAATAGAATTAGACTCTATTCAAGAGAGTCTATTCTGTTGGCTTTCAAAAGCCAATAGAATAAAAGGGAGTAGCACAACTAAGGAAAAGGGGAAAAATGGCTGACTGCGTTGTTTGGCGACCCCCGTGAAATGGTCATTCGACCCCAAATGGGGTCCCGACCCACAGGTTAAGAACCACTGCCTTAAGCGGTATCAGAAAACAAAAAAATGTATAAAAACTGTAATTGTACCTAAAATGTCTTTGAAGATGTACATACAAAAACTACTGACATACAAAATTGTTGTTCTGAGATGGGTGTGCTAAAAATATTTTGGCAAGATTGATGTTTAATGTGCAGCCAAATTCTGCTTAGAGAGGGTTTAACACTCTGTAAACTTAAAGTAATCTGTAAACAAATAGTTACAGGAGAAGATTAACAGTACACTTTTTCTGTTTTCTATCCTCTACAAATAGATCCATTTATCTTTATATTTAAGCAAAATTTATCTTAGCATTCCTCAAGCTGACATTGTTGTCCTGGTAGATATATTACCACAAATAAAAAAAGGAAACAAAATCAAAAAT